CACACCATCAGAACTGTCCAGCCCATGTTCCCAAAGGCTACACTGATTGTGACACAGAAGATGCAAGAAACATGGTCCTGCAGAACCCCGACACTAAAAACTACACGCAAAAAGAATCCTCCCCAAACACCTCTGGAATACTGAAGGTGCCAAAACCAGGCCATCCTAAAGCCATTCCACTGGTCAGGTCTCTTTCACATGTTCCAACACCTCAGAGGAGGCAGAGCTGAAACCTAAGATGAGCCAAGGAGACAGAGACTCATTAGCCTTCACCCGCTACAAAAAAGACCATTTCTATACATGACCTTTCTAAGGTTACAGCCCTACAGGAGATAAAGAGTCTGGGAATCAAAGTCCCAGGCTCTGTGACTGCTTTTTTCACTACCTGCCTTCAAATAACACAGAAAAGGAGACTGGACTTCAAGAATTCACTGTTATTATCAAGCAGGCAACTGTTAATTGATCAACAATTTCTTCCAAAAGACAGACTCTAAATACAAGCAGGAAAAAAACAGAAGAAATTGCAAGTGGTTACCTCACAGGAGTATTTTAAACTTCCACACTCTCTTATATTATCTAAAATACACCACACACCTTGAAAAGATGTAAAAGGCATCAATAAAATCTGTGTTGTTACATGACCATAATGGGGTTTTGGCTGCAATGTTCTACATGGCTTGTACACATTTGCTTGTACAAGGATATTATAGTCAGAGAAAAACACAGGCTGAAATCAAATTAAATGCATTAAGATACAGTTCAGTACAGGTTAAAACCAGACTCATACACATGACTCAGGATTACACTCGTTTTAAGTAGGGTTGGCATTAAATAAAATTTTTTAAAGTACTTAAGCATTAAAATAAGTAATAAAAGTTTGTTTTCTCTTTTTTTTTTTTCTCCAGTTAAGTATCTGGAGGTGTGGGAACAAAACGAAAAATATAATTAAGTTCCTCTCAAGAAGAACCATTCTAGAACAACACATGAAATTCATGCCAGCCTCACTGCGTCAACAGGCCATGTGAACTATAGGGTCAAACTAAAACCAAACCACAGCCAACCCAAAAACCCACAAACAAACAACAACAAAAACCCTCAAAGCCCCATGAAATGAAACCCCACAAACCAAATGTTCTGGTCATATCTGCTTTTCTTTATTAAGCAGGTCACCACTCACACTAGAGAATAAAATCATAAGAAGCTTCACTCAATTCTTCTCACTGTTCTTGGGAATTTGGGGTGCCTTGGGAACAGGGTAACACTTAATGCCTAGGGGTTTTTTTCTACTTGGAAACAGGAAAGGTATATGAAAGTAAATATACTTTGAAAAGTAAGGGAGTAAAACGTTAGGGGGTCCTAAGACAAGAAAAGGGCAGCATAAATAAATAAAATCAATATTCCCAGTCTTCCCACAGAAACCATGCCATCACTTGCTTTGGGATTTTTGGGGGTGGGGTTCATTTTCTGGTACTTAGGGTTCAGACCTAGAGAGCGCCAAAGCTGAGCTGAACTCCTTAAGGCAAAGACTTGAAACATGCAGCTCCTTACAGATGTTCACAGTTAGTTGATGAAAAACAGCAAATCATCTTCTTCTCAGCAGATACTCAAGAGCTTTCAGTGAATTCTGCAACATTTTACTCCTGTGCTCACATGCAGCCAAACATTTAGGCTCCAAAATTTAATAACCTGCAATATTACCACTGTATCTACTTTCAGATGAAAGAACTGAAAATGGAGCAACCACTGTAATAAATCTGTGCAAATACCTATAATACTTTAATAATCTATAAAATAAAATCAAAACGACATATTAAGTGGCATGTATGATTTATGTGCAATGCACAGAAGAGTATACATTTATTAAAAGCAAAATTTAAAGCAAGAAACTTCTGTCTGCATGACTGAGAACTCTCCTCACTTTCAGGCCTTTCCTTCAATTTAATTTTTAGGCTTGTCAGTTTTCTCTTTAGCCATTTAAATCTGCACAGACCTTTTGAAATACAGGGAGTATTCACAAATTCATCGGAAACTGGTTTAGTGAAAGCAAGTACTAATACATCTGAACGATGATAATCAAGATAGAATCAGAGCCTTTAACAAAGTCAAGTTTTTATAAAGCTGTCAGAAAAACTGACACAAAGTGCTGCAATTATTTTTTTTTTTGAGACATGGACCAAGGATTTTTACCGCGAGGGCTGAAATACGAATTCTAAAATGGCCAAAGCAATTCTGTTTCTCTCTTAATAGCCATTTCCCAAAATAATCCTAATCCAACCAGCCCATCCCTTCTCACCAGTCTCTGCCTTCTGCAGCCTTTTATCAACTAAAGGCATAAAATCTGAGAGTGTACTCTTATTGCAAGTCTCTAACGGTGATGAACAAATATTCATGTTTATACTACATTCATGTTTTAATTAAATGAATTTACAACTAACAGATTTGGGATCATAGAAAAACTATGCAGCAGAGAACAGAGAAACTGCATGCAGAGAACTAAGCTGTGGCTCTCCTCTCCCTGGCAAGTGAACAGCCAAGAAGGGGGAGCACCCGGATCAGTTCCCTGCTCCACTCCAGCCTGTAGTTTTGCAATGAAGGGAATAAATCTGGGAAGTGAAGGAGTGAATATGGGAGGAGAGTCTGAGCTGCTTGTGCCAGGATAGCAACTGTGAGGAAAAGCCACAGGATTGCAAACACAGGGCAGATAGGGCCAAGATTCAGCATAAACCAAGACAAATGATGCAGATGACATGTGAAGGACTAAGCAGGACTCACTCACACATGTCACCCTGCACCCACATCTGCACCATCAGAACGTTTACAAATAATTAAAACCAAAATCCTCTCAGAATAACTATTGCTTCCAGTATATACATTACGGGTATTCATTAGCCTGAAGATGCCATTTGCATAAAGAATTAGCATCATCTTGTACGATAGTAAAAGCAAACACCACATTAAACATGAAAAATAAAAACACATACGCAAACCAAAGTAAGTCCGGGATGGGGAAGAGAGATTAATCATAACTTTCTTACACACACTAATTTTAAGAACTTCCTTATAATGTCCCAACATCTGAGAACTCTGTTCACTCCAACTCGTTTCTTATACACTTTCCCTTTCTACTTAATGGCAAAATAATTCCTCAATTCTTCTTCAGTTTCCATATCTTCCAGTTACTAGATAAACCTAAGACTATTCTTTTTCTAGTTAAGTAAAATCTCCTTGTGACCAAAAAAGTCTCCAAAATGCCAAGCAAACCTCTCCTGCTTTGCTGCCACTCAACAAGCCACGAAGTTAACCATAGCCAAGCTCTGCATCAAGGGCCTGCACAAAGCTGGTGGCTGTGCATAAATCTCTCTACACCTACAACCCCACAAGTCACTATGAAGATTCTATTTTGGAAGAAGGTACCTTTCTGGTTTTTATTCAAACAAAACTTGCACATTTGGATTTGAAAGCCTCTTGATTTTCTTTGAGAAGTTCACTTCTAGAGAACACCTAGAGACACCCAGCTCAAAGCTTTG